AGATATAAGTTTTGTATTATAGCTCATATCGTTTTACTAAACTCAGTCGGACATCCAAACATATGAAACCTGCTCTAGTTGGCAGCACATGTTACATCCGTCCTTAAAGTATTAAATAAGTCAACAAAACCTGTTGGTGGTATATCTGAGTAAGTATCTTCAAAGGAGTATTTTTTACCATTCACAACAATAAATCTTCTGGTGTCAAAAGAGCAAAACAGGCTTTAGTCGTCATCGTGTTTAAGGTTAGTTTACAATATCGTCCTTGAGGGCTTTGTAAGTTTGTTGTTATAGAATTATATGACTCAGGGTTTTTAGTCGTAATAGTATAAACCACTATGTCTTCTGCCATTTACATATATTTAAAAGTTTTTCTGAAATGGAGAAGAACTTCATCTAAACTTTCACATGGCGTTTCTTGAAGTTCTCTGTCTAAGAAGTTCAAATATTTTTGTAAAGACATAAGAACTTTCCTTTGTCTACACGAACAAACAAAACAGGGTCTTTCATATCGTTCAAAAGTGTGTAAAGTCCTTTACATGAAATAAAGTCTATATTGTTTTTTCTTCAAACATCTTTCAAGAAGTTTTGACATTTTTACTTAGCAAACAAACTTTAATGAAATGTTTGTGTCGTCAAATATTTTTATGACGTCTGGGAAACTATATTTTAAGTTCAACGTTTCACCTCCTTTTATAACGTATATCTTTAGTATGACATTATATGAACACCACAGCAAGCAATGTCGGGTTCTATTTCTTTGATGTTTATATCGTCTGCCTCTGTCAAAAGTTTCAATAGTTCTTTCAAAATTTCATGAGGTGCGATACATATGAGTTCACTTTTACAGGGTTGTGCTTAACCAAGTTTAACATTATACCCAAAGCTTGACAAATCTTCTCCTGAGTTTTAAGTTTGTCTTTAAGTTGTTTGTATCATTTCGAATATCTGCAACAGAACTTAAGTCTCTGCTAACTTCAGGTATGTTGGTTCTTTTACAGGAACTATTGTTATACCATCTTCGTCTTCGTATGGTTTCCCACTTCAACATCTCTGTCTTTGACATTGACAACAACACTTTGACTGTTTGTTTGAGTTGGTGAATTTAACTTCACATCTGCCACCGCCATTAAACTTTTGAAACACTTACGCTTCTATTTTTCGGAAATGACATTTTACTTCGAATAAAAATATGGACGTTTTGAGTATCTCTTCGAATTGAAGCAAAACAAAGTTTACACACACAAACAATACAAGTTCATTGACAGAGTAGTTCTTTACACAAACAATGGAAAATGTTATAGAATAGCAGTCTTTTGCTGAACCAAAATATTTTCATAAAGCAAAGAAAGTGGTATAACCGAGATGGTGAAAGTTCTTGACGTTGACAAAAATATAGCAACAAAACTGACCGATATTTCTAAAGGTAAGTTTTTAATACAATACTATTGTCAAAACTGGCGTACTGTCAATATTTGACGGGAGAGAAGTCAGTTCAAGAACAACTTACTGACCTGCTGCCAAAATCTGCTCGATGGAAGCTGTCGTTATACCAATCTGAGGAGCCCAGCAGGTTTCATCGAACGAATTTTCAAAAGAGCATCTTCCGTGAAAGTGCTATTGGTTTTGTAAACTTCTTTGCTTTCAATTATCTGGACCGTCTCTGTCACCAGTATATTGTATTTGAACTGTACCAACAGTTGAAATACCGCCCATAAAGTCTTCTGAGTCAGCAAATGGAATGCCAAGCCAAAAGTTTGAACGGTCTCCATTTGTATATGAGTTTTTTGACCTCCTGTATGAGTCCATACTTTCACATATGGCATAATAGAACTTTGCATTTCAGGGTTAATGGTTGTTGTGAAGTTGTTGTTAAAGTTCATAGCATCTAATGTCAAGTTGTATGACCTCATATCCTCAACTGTGGAATATTCTTCTCTTGGATAGTATTTGCCATCTATGTTTTATAGATATTTAATACCGGGGTTGTAGAAACAAGAATAGTCATTTATAGTTCGTCTGAACAGTACAAACATAGTATCTGCATGTTTCATTGCAGTTGTTAAGGCAATATCTGTTCTTGCACCTGGTCAGCACTTTGGTTTCCAACTTCACCTGCAAAGTCTTTGACAGATATTTGGTGTATAGGGAACATAAGTGGAACTGCAATATATTTGGCAGCTAAAGCATTTGAAATATCTGGGGTCCAACATATAGACTGCAAGTCTGCTTTCTATTCTCTTGCATTCAAATTTTTCGCATGTGAACTTAACTGGGTCCCAAGCAGTTCCAGCAGCATTGAAATAATAGTTTACTTCAGTGTTGAGGTTTGAGAAACCAAAGTCTAAGTCAACTTTGTCTTTGCAAAAGTCACAGAACTTGCTCCACCAGTTCCAGCTACAGCAATGCTGAATGGGTCTTGTGTTGGTGCAATGACTAAGTTATTTTTGCTTGGAGTAAGTTCGATAGAAATTTTCCTGCCCAGTTTGGCAAGTATCTTAAAAACCTGAAGATGAGGAAAGATGACAAAGGAACTCTAAGTTTCAATTTTACTTTGGTTACTGCTGCTGCAGTTTGTTCAGAAAGGTCAACATAAACTCCTGGAACGTTAGGGTCAAGTCTTCTTATTTTCTCAATAGTTGCATACTGGTCTGTTTGTTCTCTAGCTTGTGGTTGTACTGAGTTTCTCAAAGCGAACCATTCATAGTTTGCCCATGTTACTGTTTGAACTAAGTCAGAGTTAGAATATATCTTATATCCCATGAAAACTTCTGGAGCATATTGGTATCCGACATAGAAAATTCCATTGCAACCTTTCTTGTCAGACAACTTGGCAGAAGGTTTTATTTCAATGTCTTGTTCCACGTATAAGAAAGAGTTGTCAATAGAAATTATATGAAACCTGCGCAAGCAATATCTACTGTTGTTGAAGAACCTTCTCCAAACTCACCTACGTTTCCATAAGAAACAGCAGTTGTATATTCGTAAGTTCCAGGAACTATTTCTGACCTTCTAATGGCATTGTCGCATTCGTTATACCATTCGGAAACATTTCCATTCATGGCATCCAAAACTGTTGGCGTTATATTCTGAGCGGCGTACATTTCATATGGGTAAAAATATAGAATAGTTGGATTTATATGTCATAATAGAACCCACGTGGACCAAGCTTTACTTTCTTCCTGACTGAGTTTTTAACTCTTCTTTTTCCTTCATTGCCACTACTTTCACTTTGTTCTTCACTACTTTCACTTTGTTCTACTCTTTCCTTCTTTCTTTGGTGTCGCTTTTGGTAACTTTCCCTCTGCTTCAAGTTGTTGCATCTTTGCCTCATGTTCACCTAGTATGTTGTAAATTTCCCATGTCCTTTTTGCCTTTGGGCTCTGTCGCCCATCTCAGGTAACCTATATCCTAGAAAGAGTTTGTCATAGTTTGTATTTGAGTCGTCGCTTATTGTTTGCATGACTCTTTCCTGAGTTTCCGGTTCAAGCTCTTCAAACAGTGCCTGTCCATATGGAATAAGCTCGTTTCCAAATATATGTTTTTGTAGCCATTCTGGTTTTCTTTCCATGTTACCAACTATATCTTTTGTGAATGGGAAGCTTTTACCCAATCTTTCAGTCTTGCGTCGTTTATTTCTGTAGTTTGGTTTTATTTTGTCAAGGAACATGTTTTTCAATACTAACATTTCATTTGGTACTGTCCATTTGAGTTTTCTTAAATATTCATCCCTTCTCGGTTCATTGTCTGCAAAGTAAGTTTTTATGACATTTTGTAAACTTTCGTTTGCAAGGTCATGTACAATAGGTTCTCTTCCTTCTGTCTCCCTAACTTTCTTTCTAAACTCTTCACCAAATATACCATCTCTATGGTTCTGTAGTTTTTTGAGATAAATGTTCTAGAACGTCAGGTGTTATATTTCCATCAGCCATGTTCATTTCATACTGGTCCAAAATATCTGCATGTTTCATATCTTTCAATGGCATTAAAGCCGCGCTTAAATACCAGCTATATCTGGTTCACCATTGACTTCCATTGCGTCTACAACTTCTTGAATTGTGGTTGTAAGTTTATGAACCACCTATCCGGATTAGCTTTATGACCCCATCTCATTGTAGTTCCATCGTCTGCAAAACAAAAGTAGGTTTGTTTCCATCTTGGTTAGGTTCTGAATGAACTTTAAACAATGTTTCATTTCATATGTTTTGTTGAAATTTTACCTTTTATCTTCACCGATTCATCCGAAGATTGAACGTTAAATGCTCGTAAGTAAAAAGGGTTGTTGTATTTGTGTACATTTTCTTTCAGTACTTCCATTCTATGCTGAATATTTTTCATCTGGTGTTGGAGTCTTTTGTATGTCGGCAAACATTTTTCGATATTCTTCTACTATGTCAGCCGAATTTTTTTTTAGACTCTTGGAAATATTCCATATTCTCCGCATACTCTTGTTGAGGGTCAAGATTTTTCGGCTGTTCCAAATCTTCATCTAGTTCTGTGAAGTTAGTTTCCAAAGGAGTGACTTGTTCGTTTCCTTCAGGCTCTTCTAGCTGTTGTTGCTGAACTATTTCTTCCATGTCTGGTTGTATCTGAACTAGTTCTTCCTGTGGAGTTTCTTGTACCTCATCTGCTGGCATTTCATATATCAGACCGTTTTTAACAACTTCCCTTTCTAAGTCATCCGGACTCATAAACCTTTCTTCTTTTCGTTCCGTCTCTATTTTTTACGCGTTTCATGACGGGAGTTGAATTGTCATTTAGCTCTGACATCAAATATCTCGGAGTAAATTCATCCATGTCATTTGGATGATATGCTATTAAATCATATCCCTTAGCGAGCTTGTATTTTCCAGGTTTGAAATTATATCCGATTTTATGCTGAACCATAAAGCTAAATAGGTTCGGGTCAGTATTTCCATCCTTGAACTTTCTAATAGCTTCTTTATATCTGTCACTAAAGTCAATACTATCTGGGTAACCATAGTCTTCCTTAAGCCTTTTTAAGAATTCTTGGTTTCCTTGTTCTCTACTTCTTTTATGTCCTTGCTCTGTTTGTGGTTGTTGTTGTTGTGCAGGGTTTTGAACTGTTGGTTGTGGTTGTTGTTGTGCAGGGTTTTGAACTGTTGGTTGTTGTGTTGGTTGTTGTGTTGGTTTTGGTGCATGCCTATGTCTGTGTCCATGTGACGATGTAAATGTTTTAGGTAGTCCTGGTGCAGGTGCTTCTCTTGGAGGGTTTGGTGGTATATAAATTCCAACAGCTGGTATATAAGTTCCACCAGCTGGCACATATGTTCCATCTGCAGCGTAATGTCCTACCTGACTTTTCGTTCTTAAGAAAGCATTTACTAGGTCTGTTTGGTCTGTTGTAACTCTTTTTCTTGACTTTCCACAACAGTTGCTCTAACGGCGTCATAGGCACTTTGAACTGCCTGTCTCGTTGCTGCATCTGTTATTTTCGTCATATTTTGTGCTACTTCTTTTAACTCTTTGTCGAAACCTTCAGACTTCAGTTTCTTTCCAGATGAGAAGTCGTTCACTTGTTTCACCTTACTATGAAGAGCTTCGAAGGCGTTCTTAAAGTCAGCATTTGTTAAAGCTTCATTTGAACTGTCTTCATCCGCTTGTATTTTTGTCCTTATTGACCCTATGAGTTGGGCTGCTTTAGCGTTGGCTTGGGCATCTAACCAGTCATTGTTAGCTTTTATATATTCTGCGCTTTTCATTGCCTTTTGCATGCTGCGTCGTTATTTTTACTTTCTTGTGCTAATTTTCATACTGTACGGTTTTGTTTTGCAAATGTAAAAGTTTTTCTGCCTTTACATTTGCTTCAACTTCTTTTTTATACTCATCGCTATCCATATATGTCTTCAGGGCTTTTTGTTTTATCTCTTCATCTTTCAGTATTTTATATTGAGTAGTATGGTTTTTCAAATTTATGACATCTTGTTCCATTTTTGCTACTTCTGCTGCTTTTTCTGACACTTTTTTCGCATATTCCTCTGTACTTAGTTCTTTCAGTTGTTCTTCTTTCTTCTTTTTCTCTACGTTTAACTCATTGAGTTTCTTTGTGTGTCTGTCATATTCTAGTTTCTTTTCGTTTTCACCTATTTGCTTCTGTATGTCTATGTTTGACTTTTTGACATCTGCTATTTGATTTTTGAGTGAACTCAAATTCATTTGACTTTGAGGGTTATAGGCTGTTCCGTCTGCAGCTCCACCATAGCCTGCCATTTTCGCTAAAAGTGCCGCTCTTAAACCTCCACTCTGTGCACCAACAACTCGGTTTAAAAGCATAGGATTGCTTGACATTTGTTGCAACATAGTGGGGTCATTCAGCATTTGTTGTTGCAACTGTTGTTGTGGTGTCAGTTTTACTATTGGATGTTTCAATGCTCTCTTCCTCTTACGTATATTCTTACGTAGCTTACGTGGCATTTTAAGTGAAGTTAAAAAGCGGTTTTATACTAAACATCTTCGGGGCTAGAGGGCACGAAGTGCCTGGAAGCCCCAATACCTTTTTTTTTTTTTTTTTTTTTTTTGCGAGAAATGTCTGTAAAATAAATTGTTCGAAAAAAATTATATTCGTATAATTGTCTACCGAAGTCGGCCATTTAGAGCAAAGGATACATTAACTAGGTCTATTATTTAATGGTCCATAGATCCTTTGATCAGATATACAATTACCATTCCATTCGCAAAATTTACCTTCAATGCGAAAAAGACACATTTAGTGATATTGGAGCATATTAATTTCAACTATATTATTTTGCTTTGTCATGCCTTTTGTTCAATTAATTTGTTATCTGTATTGTCTACTCTCGTGAAACAGTACACAATTGATTGCAAATGAACGAACATGCACTAAAGGCAACAGTCCCTGTTTAGTACATGATTAGTATTCATTTTTATTGATAAATAATTTCAAAAATTCTTGACATGCAAATGGAATATCATAAGGATGTTAATCGTGCAAAACGAAAAGCAGATGTTTAAAATAATAATAAAAATACATTAGTTGTTTAAAAAATAATAAAATGCATGGATGAAATAATTTTCTATTGTTGCTTAGATTCTTCCTCTTCATCATAATCTTCTTCTTCAAGATTGAATTCATTCAGCTGTTTCATGATTTCACTTAATGACATATCTCCTTCATCTTCTTCATAGTCTTCACTAGATAATGCTCCAAGAAGGTCGTTGAGATTAACTTCATTTCCATCAGTGAAAATGTTCAATTCATTCTTCTTTGGAGAATCAGTTGTTTTAACTTCTGTTTCTTTCTTTGGAGAAACTGTTGATTCCTTCTTTGGAGAAATTGTTGTTTCCTTCTTTGGAGAAATTGTTGTTTCCTTCTTTGGAGAAGGTGTTGTTTCTTTCTTTGGAGAAGGTGTTGTTTCTTTCTTTGGAGAAATTGTTATTTCTTTCTTTGGAGATGATGATGTTTCCTTCTTTGGAGAAGGTTTCTCTTGTGGGTTCTCCGGAGCAGAAGCTGCTGATTGTTTTTCTTGATCGCGCTTTCTCATGTTTGAAAGCAATCTGTTAATTAATTCTTCATCTGAATCATCTGTCTTAGAAACATCGTTCAAATTAGGATGAACAATTTCCATTTCGTCTTCCTTCTCTTCGATGTCATCACTTGCTAATGCATCTTCTTCCTCCTCGACTTTTTCTTCTTCATTGTTTTGATTTTCATCCTCTGAACGAAGTTCGTCTGATTCTGTTCCTTTTAGTTGTTTCTCGTCAACAATTTCGATTCGACCGTCATCATAATGTTCTTCTTCACCGAACTCTTCCTCTTCTTCCTTTGGTTCTGATGCTGGTTCTAAATGTCCATCTGCAGCTCTTGAATTGAGATGTTTCAAGAACTCTAAAACATTTAAGTTGTCATATTGATCTAAAACATCATTTTCATCTTCTTCAGCATCTTCACTTTCAACTCCTTCTTCTATAACAATATTTCTTCTTGGTTTTTCTTCATCTAATTCACTTCCATCATTAATAAGAATGTATTGATACATTCCTTCCTCTTCTTCTTCAAATTGATTCTCTTCCTCTTCAGCCACATCTTCTTCGCTGTGTTCTGAACTGACAGAGATATCAACTGGTTTCTTTTCTTCTTCCTCTTCTCCATGAACTTCTTCTTCTTCATTAATAACTTCGTGCTCTTCTTCTTCAACTAAATCATCATGATTTTCTTGTTCTTCTTTATCGTGTTGCTCTTGTTCTTCTTCTTCAACTAAATCATTTTGATTTTCTTCTTCTGGGAATTCGTTTTGATTTTCTTCTTTGTTTTCTTGGTTATTTGATACCAAGCTTGAGTTGGAATGCATTGAAGATGTATCTTCAATATTTATTTCAGGAATTGTATCTGAATTGTTTTGAAGAACGTAAGAATCGTGAGAATGAGGAACGACGTTGAATTCGGATGATTCAGGAGATTGGAATGAATCAATCTGTTCTAAATCATCTGATTGAATTTCGTTCTCAATCATTGATCTCTTTGGTGAAGAAGGAACAGCATAAATTGATTTCGGAGACATCTTTGGATCAGGATATTTCGCAGCCTCAATCTTTGGAGACATTTGTTTCATGTCTTCGTTTTCAAGTGGAGAATTCGATGAAGAAACATCTGGGAAGTTCTCATCCAAGTCTTTCTCAGAAATTTCGCGGAGAGGAGACTTTGGAGGCTCCAAATTGTCAATGACTTCAATTCCGCTGACAATTTCTTCCTCTTCTTTAGTTTGTTCTTCTTCATCGGATTTCTTTGGTTGTGCTGCACTGCTTCTTCTCCTTTCGTACTTCTGTTTGATGGCATCCAATGAAAGGTTTATTAATCCTTTCTCTGGCTTAACTTCATCGATTTCTTCCTCTTCTTCTTTGTGAGAATTATTTGAGTCGAATTCGTCTTCGACCATATATTGTCTTCTTGGAGAAGAAGTTGATGAATGTGGTTGTGTGATGTTAAAGAGATTATCTGAAGATGAATCCTCACCAAAGAAACTGTCTTTGGATTTAACAGGTGTTGCTAATCCGCTTGACAAAGGTTTGGATTCATTCAAATTTTCTTTGTCACTTTTTTCTTCTTTATTTTGTGACAATTCTTCGATATGATGCTTTAGAAGCATATTTTCTTCGGAGATCTTATTGTATTTCTCCATCATTGTCTTTACACCTTCATCTGCCTTCTTTTTATCGACTTCTGATAGCTCTAATTTGTTCTTAAGTTTAGTTATTTCCCTTTTAAGCATGTTATTGTCATTTTGAAGTCTTTCTTCAACATCATTGTTGTTATTTTCGAGTTGTTCCTTAAGTTCTTCATTTTCTTTCTTGAGATCTTCTATTTCTTTGATTTTTTCATCATTTTCTTGGACTTTATTTTCTAATTCACTTAATTTCTTCATCAATGTGTTTCTTTCTGCTTCAAGACCAACTATATCTGTTTCCTTGTCTTTAAGTTGATCTTTGATCTTATCAATATCTCCTGAAACAGCATTTTCCATCTTCAAATTCTCATATTTAATAATCATGTCACTTTTTTCTGATTCTTCTTTTTCTAATTTATCTTTTAGTTTAATATTTTCTTTTTCTAGCTTGGAGATCTTTGCATTAGCATCATCAAGCTGTTTAGAATAGTTATCGAGATCAATCTTAAGCTCAGAGTTCTCGAATTCCAATTTGTTTGTTAGTTCATTATCAATTAATTTCATTTTTTCCTTGAGTTGTTTGTTTTCTTCAACTGTTTGTTCTAAATTATCGGCCATTGATTGGAATTGGACTAAAGGTACAGAATTATCTTGTGCTTGAGAAAGCTCATGTTCTAATCTCTGTATCTCATTGACTTTGATTTGTATCAAAGCGTCTTTCTTCAAATCTTCAACTTCTCTTCTGATTTTCGTCATTTCATTTTCATCTGACAAATCTTCTTCCTCTTCTTCGTTTTGTTTATCGCCAAAGATCTGTTTCTGTATGTCTTTGTGCTCTTTCTCGAGTTTCCTGATCTCATCTTCTATTGATTTCTCTTTATCAAATGTTGATTTGGCCAATTCAAGAGCGTTCTTTAATGATTGGATTTTTTCATTTTCTTTCTTCAAATTATCGTTTTCTTTCTCGAGATTGTCGATTTTGTCTTGTAATTCTTTCTGTATTTCATCAAATATCTTGGAATCATCAAGAGCTTTCTTAAGTCTTTCGTTTTCTTGGCATAATGTTTCTTTCTCTGCAACAAGCTGTTCGTTTTCTTTTGTTAAATCTTCATTTTCTTTATCTAAATCATCATTTTCTTTCATCAAATTCTCGTAATCATTTTGTTGTGTCAATAAATCATTCTTTTGCTCGATTTGGTCGAGTAATTGTTTGATCTCCTTCTTGTGGTCCTCATTTAATTTAGAAATCTTTGTCTTTAAGTCTTCGATTTCTTTAGTTAAATCATCATTTTCTTTAGAAAGATCGTCATTTTCATTGTGTAATTCTGAAATTACTTCATCTTTCTTTTGTGATGATTGTTTGTATCTGTTGTTAATATTCTCTTGTCTTTCTGTTTCTCCTTTGAGATGATCATTCATTCTGGAGATTTCCTTGAATTGTTCTTCCAATGCATTGTTTTCTTGCAACAAATCCTTCAAAATCTTCTCGTTTTCATCATATTTCTTCTGTAAATCATCATTGGATTTCTTAAGTTCTTCAATTTGTGCTTGTGAATCATTGTTTTGGATTTGTTTGAGTAAATATTCATTAGAAATCTTAAGATCATTGACTTGTTTCTGTAAATCTTCAATGGTCTTTTTAGAATCATCGCTTTGGATCTGATTGAGTAAATCTTCATTGGATTTCTTTAGATCATTAACTTGTTTTTGTAAATCATGATTCTTTTGGGCGAGTTCTAGTTCTTGGTTTGTATTTGTGTTCTTTAGTTTCTTCATTTGATCAATTAATTTAGTGTTTTCATCAACAGCTTTATTAATTTGTTGTTCATGTGTTTCTTGTTGTTTCTTGTGCTCTTCTGTTAATGCTTCTAATTCTTCTTCCAATTCTAAATTCTTTTGATTGAGTTCTTCGTTTTCTTTGATTGTTTCTTTGATTTTCTCTTGTAAATCAACGATTTGTTTCTGTTTGTTTTGGATTTCTTCATTTGCTTTCTTGAGATCATCGTTCTTGATGTTTTGGAGATTTTCATTTATGTTCTTTAAGTCATCGATCTGCTTTGTTTTCTCTTTGAGTTCTTCAGCAACTCTCTGTAAATCATTTGTTGTTTTCTGGAATTCTTCTGATGCCAAAACTTTCGTTTTGAGTTCATCAATTTCATCTTGTTTTTGTTTGATTTGTTGATCTTTTTCATCGAGTTTTCTCTGCAAATCATGGTTCTTTTGTGCAAGTTCTAATTCTTGGTTTGTGTTTGTGTTCTTTAACTGTGTGTTTTCAGCGAAAATCTTCTTCATTTGGTCTCTCAACATCATGTTTTCATCATTTGATTTATTGATTTGTTGTTCATGATTTTCTTGTTGTTTCTTGTGTTCATCTGTTAATGTTTCTAATTGATCTTCCAAAACATCAACTTTTTCTTTGAGTTTTTCGATTTCTTCTTCTAAATCTTCTTTTTCTGTTGTTACATTCTTAACATCTTCTTCCAATTCGACCCTTTCATTCTCGATTTCCTTTAATTTATCCATCAAATCTTGGTTTTCTTTCTTTAATTGGTCGTTTTCTTGTTTGTAATTTTCATCTTTCTTTGATTGTAATTGTTTTTCTTTTTCATCAAGTTGCTGCATCAAATCTTGTACTTGTTTCTCATTCTTTGCCTTTAATGATGTGTTTTCTGCATAAACTTTCTTAAATTGTTCTCTCAACTTCTTGTTTGTTTCTGATGATTTGATTGCAGCTTGTTCTGCTGTTTCTGCAATCTTCTGGTTCTCATCTTGCAGCTTGGATATCATTTGATCTCTCTCTTCAATCTGGCTCTTGAGTTTCTTGTTTTGTTCTTCAATTTCTTTGGATTTGTCACCTTTTTCATTTGTCACTTTTTGTAATTGATTTTGAGTATTTTCAAGTTCAGATTTTAATTGTTTGATTTGATTTTGTAACTCATCATTGTTTTGTGACTTATTTGTTAACTCTTTAATCTTAAGTTGTCTTTGTTGATTTTGTTGGAAAATTTGTTGTTTTTCATCTTCCAATTTTGCCAAATCTTCTTCTTTTTGTTCAATTTCATCATGTAATTCATTGTTTTGTTGTTGTAATTGATCATTCTGTTGTTTGAGTTGATCAATTAATGTCTGGAGTTTCTTGACTTCGTTTGATTTCTTCTTATTCATTTCTTCTTCTTTGTTAGAAATGTATTGTTGTGCTTCTTCTTCGAGATCTTTGTTTTCGTCTTCAAGAAGTTGGTTCTGGTCTTCGAGTTCTTTGACCCTTGATTCATTGGCCTGGATCTTACTGTTTTTGTCTTCAACATCTCTCCTTAAATCGTCAATTTCGTGGTGTGCATCTAAAAGAGATTTTTGAAGTGCAACGATGTTCTGCTGGAAGTTGAGAGCTTCTTTGGCAGCTGTGATGCCTTGTTTACGTAATGACTTGGCTTCTTTCTTGGATTTGCTTAAGTTGTCTTGTAATTGTGACAAATTTTCGGTTAAAGCAGAATTTTCGTTTTGTAAAGTGTTGTTTTTATTGAAAAGTGTCTCTGTTTGCTTCTGGAGACCTTCAATTTCCTTCAGGCGCTTTGCAATCTCTTGTTGGTATTGCTGTAATTGATTTTGAAGTTCACTTTTTTCACTTTCGATATTTTGAATCGACTGATTCATTGATTCCATCATAGAAACCGACTTTTCATGCTTAGCAACATTATTTTGGAGCTTTGTGTTGTCTCTTGTAAGCTTGTTGTTCGCTTTTTTAAGATCATTATTTTCTAATTGGAGTTCTTTGAGCTTTTCTTGAGCGGATTGTAATAATTTCGTGCATTCTTGAAGTTGCTTGTTTGATTCTTCATGAGCTTCTTGATGTTCTTTATGAATCCTTTCATGTTCTTCAATTTGTTGCTCGTTCTTAGCCAATTTACGCTCAGCTTTTTTGAGTGCGCGTGTGACTTTAACGGCAGAGTTTTTGGCCGATTCCGCCTCGTTTTGAAGGTCGATATTCTGATTGTTAAGATCTTCAACTTGATTTTGTAAATCTCTGTATTGCTTTTCGAGACTCTTATTCTTAGCAGCTAATGATTCGTTATTTGTTGTAACTTCGTTAAGTTTCGCTTCTAATTCGTTTTTCTGATTCAACAAATTTTGCTGCTGTTGCATCAAATCAACAAGCTTTTGATCAGTTTCCATCTTAGAATCAACAACTTGTCCGTATTGTCTGATGTTTGATTCATACTTATTACGCATTTCACGGAATTTATTCGAAGCAACTTTGTAGTTATCCAGAAGTGTTCTGTCTTTTTCTTTAATTGACTTATACTTCTCTGTAATTGCTTGGAGTTTTGTTGCAAGAAGCTTGTTTTCTTTTCTCATCGTTTCATTTTCTTCACGAAGTTTTTCAATTGCACTTTGTGCTTCTGGATTTGCAATTGAAGCTGATCTTTTAGTTGATGAAACTGCTGGAGAATTAATACGAGAATTTTTGAGTTCCGAATTTCTTTGTGATAATTGCCTTATTCTTTCTTGTAATGTTTGTTGGATTGATTGATTCTCTGTATCCGAATCAAACATTTGTGTTTGTGTGTTATATGATTGATCTAAACGAGATTCCAAATCTCTAACTTGATCAGTAAGTTCTTGAACTTGAGCTTGGTATGTCTGAATAGTTTTCTGATATGCAGCATAACTATTCGGAGAGTTTTCATAAGGAGACGTGCTTTGGGAACGCCTAGGTGAGAAAGCTCTCATTTTAGTTATCGTTTATTAATTTTTTTTTTCAATTTCTTGTTGATGAGATGAGCGAACAATAACTCCATATTTAGATTTTGTTTATGGAATATAGCATAGTTGTATTGTTAATTCATTGCAATTAATGAGTTCAAACCTCAGTGGGAAAAATTTGGCAAACCCAAATTTTAGCGAAAAGTGACAGGGGAAAAAACGTTTAGTATTAAAAAAAAAGACCGATGAGAGCTTCGTTCGAAATATAGAGGGAACTGAGAATGCGCAACCATTCTCAGGGAATATTGAATGCTATTTCCGTTCCCTCTGTATGGAAAATTGAGGTTTTCAAAGGGAGTAAAAGTAAAAACAAATTTATACTAATTTACTTCAAAATACAAAAGTATTTGACAGCTAAAATTAGTTACTTTAGCAAGCCTATCAATACCCTTTTACGATTATTGTTACTTTTTCGAAATAAAAGTAAAAGCAAATTTATACTAATTTACTTCAAAATACAAAAGTATTTGACAGCTAAAATTAGTTACTTTAGCAAGCCTATCAATACCCTTTTACGATTATTGTTACTTTTTCGAAATAAAAGTAAAAACAAATTTATACTAATTTACTTCAAAATACAAAAGTATTTGACAGCTAAAATTAGTTACTTTAGCAAGCCTATCAATACCCTTTTACGATTATTGCTACTTTTTCGAAATAAAAGTAAAAACAAATTTATACTAATTTACTTCAAAATACAAAAGTATTTGACAGCTAAAATTAGTTACTTTAGCAAGCCTATCAATACCCTTTTACGATTATTGCTACTTTTTCGAAATAAAATAAATTTATTATCAAAAACCTTTTTTTTCTTAGTAAAAATAAAAATGTTATTTTATATCAAGTTTTTATTCATAAATTTTTATAATGTTGTATAAATTTGAATGTGGAAATCTGTAATAATTTTATCTTGAAAAGACTTGGCATTCTCAACAATGAATTGAGGGGTATTGCATCCAAATTCTGTAATTTGCGCGAGCGAAGCGAGCGGCTTAGGTCTAAGATTTTGATTCAAATCTTTGCTTATATTCCTTAAATTCTTTATGAAACTCGCAACAGTTCCATAAAAAATTTTAAATTCTAAACTGTCGAAATTACCGATCGGTAATCACACCCTTCACGGGTGTGTCACTTTTTACAAGTGTGTCACTTTTAGCTAAAATTACCCCTACTCCTATTTAAAAGGAAAGAATAGGCAAATTCAATTTTATTATACATTGATATAAACTAAAACTAACAAGAAGATGAATGATGGAATTTAATTACTGACAAAGGTCAAGCTTCCTACAAAATTCCATATTTTCAAATTTTGCTGAAAGTTGATTTATAAAGATTCTGACAGATCTATCCTTAACTCTAGAACATATCAAATGCAATAGTTGCTCTGATTTGCAAGTGTTAATCAGAAATTCTTTAAAGATTGGAACTGTTACATCATTTTCACCATCACCAAACAACCACTCGAAGTAAGAAAGACAAAAATCACAATTATCTCCAATCTCATGGAGTGTAATTGAATTTGAAGTGGCTCTTGGTTTGATTGATAATGGCTGTGCTTTGGGACGGCATAACTCTAATGCTTGGCAATAGTCTTTTGGAGTGATAAATTGGTCCAAGCTTCTATGAAGCTTTAATGTCAATTCTTGGCATTTTTTATTTTCTTTGCATATTTTGTCAAAACTCGTCTGGGAATTGAATTTATAGTTAGATATCATACCTCTAGCTTTTCGCTTGCATTCTTCGCATTGGGTATTGCTAGAAATATAATAGGGAAGAAACCAATACATCATCTGATGATGACAATTTTTGACATTGGTTACTGAGAAAGATTTTATATCTGCTAATCTTTTATTGGTATATATTGCATGAAGAATGACTTATTTGGCCATTTTGTCAGATAGTAATTATCGTTTTCATACAATTAGAACCTCACAAAAAATTGTTCTGATTTATAAAAGGGAATAGAGATACCGAGTACCCCGTACCAAAGATTGTATTGTTTAGGTAGGAACACTTCTGCTGTGGCTCATACAAAATAAGGGGATTTTCGAAATAAAAACAAAAATCCAATTTACGACTAAATAAGTTTGAAATTAAATATGAAATGAAGAATGAAATACAATCAGATAATAGTTCCATATTGATGGCGAGCAAGATGAGGAAATATGACTATTGTAAATTTTTGGTAGGAGTTATGCAATGCCATTTATATATATAAATATTCTATTTATTCTGTAATCAAAACTAAAATTTTGGGTCCTATGACATGAGATTTTTGTGCTCAATCAAAAGATTTTACAGTATTGGCAACAAAATACATTGAAAATATAAACAGTAAAATAGAAAAACTTAGGTTCAATTCAATATTAATGGTACGAAACATTCTACAAGTCCTCTGTAAAAAAAGTGTGAAATCATCTTTGAACAACTGTTTTTTAACGATGACTATTAAATTGTATATGATTTAGACTATATAATGAAAGAATTTATTAGTAAATCGGATTTCTCCGTTCAAACAAAAGTAACTCTTTTATTGAGAAGCTTGTTGTTTATTTTGAGAAGCGAAAAATATATTTTTGGAATTAGACAGTCGAAATATCTATGATTGGATGGCAGTGATTTTCATATTTTCATTTGTCTGTATTTCAACGTTAGAAGCAGTTTTGGTTCCGACCCTCTCAAAAAATAAAAATCCACTCAAAAAGAAAAATGGATAAAATATTTTAATGGATTAGTATATGTGAATTGTGAAATTTATCTGATTTGATGTCAAGAAAAACAAGTTTTGAGAGCGAAGAAATTGAGAAGTGATGATAGGTATATATGGTTAAAAATAAAATATAGAATAGTTTAGTGTTAATGATCGAAAATTTTCGAAATGAAAATAATCGAAAATTTGAGGGCAATTCAAAAAAGGCTATTTACTATTTATTGGATACACAAATAGTGTTACAACATCTTTTTCTATTCGAGATTTCTTAAAATTTTTGATAAAGAATCAGCCAAACATTATCGGCATAGTCAGAATGTTATTTTAAGCAAATGTCATCAAATCACTAATTGAGAAAATTGAAAAGGTTTTGTACAACATATTTTGATAGCTGCCATTGAAAAAATTGAGAGTCATCAATTTTCACTCTATCAAAAAAATTCTTATCAAAATTCTAACATTGATAGCGATGCATAAAATATTTGTTTAATCTTCCATAATATATGCCTCCTAATTACCATTTTCAATTTCGTACATTGAGATTTGAATTTTTTTATAAAAACTAGTCATTTGGATAGGCCTATGGTCACTACAAACCAAATATTCGATAAAATCAAGATTTTGCCGTTCCAAACTAACGTAAAGGTGACATCAATCAAATATCAAAAAAGCATGAAATATATAGCTATTCATCAAACTAAGAAAGGTGAAATCTATGAACCTCTCAATTGATTGATCAATTTTGAGAGAATTCTGGTTAATTATCACTTTCAATTTTGAAAGAGTGAAAGGTGACGTAATTAACAATTATTAAATGATATCTTCTTCAATGAATTGTTATGTACAATCACCATCTCCAGTTGGTACGCTTGACGACAGCTCTAAGATATCACCAATAAACGAAATGTTAGCTCTAAGGACCATGATTCAGGATATTTCAAATAAGTCCGTAAAAATTTATAATCTTAATGAGCTTTGTAACACTTACGGGATAAAGCGTAGAGGTTTCTACGACTTCCTAAGCATTGGCACCGTATTTAAGATCTGTTATCGCCATACAAATGACACTTTTGAATGGTATGGATTTAACGAAACATATAAGGTGTTAGTTTTCATCTCTCAAACAGTTCAAAAAGAGTCCATGAACAAAGGCATCAAGGAATTCTTTGATTGCTCCGCAAACTCCTCACTCCAGAATCTTGCCCTCAATGTAGTCAAGTTATTCTTCTATTTGAATACCAAATTCTTGGATTTGAGGCAGGTAGCTAAACTCTTCTCCCAAGGTACTTCCAAGTATAAGACTATGCTCAGGAAACTTTACACCGTTGCAGCTGGCTTAGAACTAGCGGAAATCATCGGAAAGACTAACAGAGTTGCAGAGATCAAGTTCCTTCATCCAATACCGTCTAGGGCCTTTGCTGACCCTACAGACATAATGTCAATGCTTAACACTAAGGAGGAACTTGATGCTGAGTCGAATTTCGAAGGAAGGCGAAAGATCTTCCAGGCAATAACGTACGACAGACGCTTCTTGGCTGCAGAGTCTGTAAGGCCTGTATTGATGTTCCAGACTCCAGCAGAAGTTTACTAATGTATTATTATTTGCTTTTATTTGTTTTAGTATTGTTGTGATTTAAACGTTCGAGGATTGTTAATTACACATTTCATTGTTTTATCCAGGAACTTCAACCTTATCTCTGGAAATTATTTATCTTCCGATAAGCTGGCCTTTGTTTCGTGATAAATAAGCTTGAGGATTGGTCAAATATGTGAAATTTGCCGATTATGCATGAATGAAATATAATCATCCTGACGATCTGAGAGGTCTTTCCTTATTTCGGATATAAATACTACCATCATATTTCCTTACAAATATCATTACGAAATATTAATTTAATTATTGAATTTTTTACAGGTTTTATTCATCTGACATTCAGTATCTGTAATGTAATAGCGAAAAAGGAATTGATCGATACAGAATTAAATATGTAATCTATTTTTACTATTCTTTTCTCTGAAATAGCAAAATCCCTTTTCACCGGAAGTGAGAAGTCAGTTGTTTACCATTTTATCCAACATTCATCATTGAAGATCTATTTTCTTGAATAAATGGCTAAATACTCCCTCATTGTTTTACAGACATAACGGAATTTTATCAGAAACAATTAATTGTAATACCAAATTTCTATAGAAAAATCAGCCATAACTGAGTTAATTTTAATATACTCATTTATGGTATTCAATTCACGTTATGCAAATCAATTAATTTCTTTAATGATTCGAAATGAGCAATATTTTCGAATAAAAATCTATTTTAAACTAATTTCAATAGTCAACTCAAGCAATTTATATAAGACTATACAAATGTACCATTAAATCGTCAAAACTCCCAACTTTTTTCTTCGATGATGAAGATTTTGATCACTTTTTTGAAAAATTTTCATATGACAAATAGGTTCATAGAATCTCTGAACCTAGAAGGGGTCATCGAGAGTATTAACTCAGATTTATATTCCCTGCGACGTCAGATGACAAAAGGGAATGTGCATGGCCTCGGACCACCTGATTTAATTATTTTAACTAAAAAAACAGATAATCCTGATTGTCCGATCGTGAAATCTTATCATTATGTGTCAGGATTAACAATATCAAGTCCATCGTCTTTTGCAGCATATTTTGCTTCTCTTACAAATTTAATTCCAAAATCTATATTAGGATCCCCTAAATATAGTTTGATAGAAGGCATCTGTTATACTTGGGATGCATTTTCTAACGTAGATATTCAAATTACAGTTAAAAATCCAGGTTCATGCAATATTACTGCTTTATCTGATAAACAGATTTACAATATAAGCGAATTAACATGGAGAGAACTTACCATATGTACAACTCTTAGATTTTGGCGTGCATCCGAGCCTCTTTTTGCGATGTTATTCGGTTACACTCCAATCTCTGTTCCAGCTTGTCACTTACTTACACCGGAACATCTCTCATGTGATGACATTCGCTTTGTCGTTACTGCTCTTCCTCCTTCAAACGAACTTGACGTGGCAATTGCAAATGCTCTCATTGCCTCCAAAGAACGAGCAAAATCAATGGCATTTTTAAGAGAATTAGCAACAATTGCACCTAGAATACTCACAATTATCCTCAAATACATCCCGGTTGGATCTCCAACGTATCCTGAGCTTTCTTCGAACATTTACGCAGCATATTCCAAGTTTCCTGATGATATAAACTTGGCCTGTGCATGCGTTGATATCAATTTGGCTCGAAATGAAGCGAATAAGTGTCTAAATTTTGTTCCCCTCCTTTTGTCATCGATGTGGCGTGATCCCGAAGCCTGTATTGCCCTTGCCAGAATCAACATTGCCCAGAACAGAGCTGATGATGCCATTTTTTTCCTAAATGCCGCATGTTATTCTCGAGAACCGGCTTGGATGTCTCCAATTATTAATCTCCCGGTTTATCAGACTACAAAATCAAAGAAATTTGCAAAATCGGATATTTCCCCTCAGGAACAACTTTTGTGCGTGAGTCACTTTTGTGGTCCCGCTTTCAATTTCTATCGTTGTCTCTCTGAATTGGCCAATGATGTTGGAATCATCAAATTACAGACAATGATGAAATACAAGAGCTTCACTGCAAAGACAGTGATCCCCAAGAACCCTGAGCTCGATGTTTTCGCAGAAAATCCGCCTCAATCTGTTTCTCATTTTGATTTTGATTTAAGGGACGAGAATCTCTTTGACCCAGGCATTTCATCTTCATCGGTGCCACCTGCTCTTATATCTACGCTACCTACATCAGCGAAATTGATCAGTGCCGCTGAATATGTTTTCAAAGATATACAATTGTGCGACAGCCTCAAGCGCTCACCACAATTTCCTACTTCTCTCGATGCAGTGAGATTAGCTCTCTCTGGAATCAGAGTTGGAGATATGGAAGCCGTTGAAGTTGCCCTCAAATATATAAAAGGAGTTTCTCCTTTCGCAGATTTACTCAGAATGCGAATGGTTTGCGAAACTAAGTGGACTTCGTTGTCTTCCTTGTTCCATGAGCCTCCAAAAGGCTCAACTCTCAATGAAGTCAATGCTGCAACGTTCGCAAAAACTCTCTCAATTGGTTTAGAGTCGTTCATCATTTGATTTTTACCTTTTTTGTTTTGTATTGTATTTTTAAATATTATAGATATGAAATATCGTTTTGAAAACGTTTTTCTGTTTGAAAATCAAAATCAATGGAAAATAATTACCTCCGTTGTCCATTCTAACAGCTATTTTTGTGGTTGTCATCGCATACATGTTATGTTTATCATGTTCTTTTTTGATTTCGATACGAAATGTCATGTAATCAAAATGAAATGCCAGTCAAATAACGCATTACACATTTTAATTTGTATCTTTATTCTATATCACTACTCTTCATGATCACTTTAGCATAAATTCACTCAAATCCTACAGTTCATATATGAAAAATTAGTCATTTTTATTCGAATGACATAAAATTAAAAATCTAATATAGAATTTTTGATAGATTAAGTAAATAGATTGTTTTTCAAAATAACTCATGTTTAAATAAAAAATAATAAAAAATATATAATTATAATTAGTCGTGACGAGTAGTGTAACCAGAGACTAGATAAGTCTTGATCATCTTCTCCTTGATGTTGATCTCGCCTCTCTCCTTGAATACGAATTCCTGGTCGTAAACCAAGTCGTACATATGTTGTGGAATGTGGACATTCATTGGAACACCATTATGTTCCATGGAAGCAGCGACGGAAATTGCTGAGCCAAGAATATCGAATGTTGGCTTTTCAATGCCCAAAACACCAGCAATGATTGGACCGCCGCAGTTGATACCTGCTCTAATTCTCATCTGTTGTTTGTTCTCAAGATCGAACAAAGACAAACCGTTGATTGCATCCAAACAGAATGAAATTGCTTGTTTTGCGTGGATTGCTGGGTTGTTAACTTCATCGAAAACACCACCAGCAGCCATATAACAGTCACCAATACATTTGATCTTGATCATCTTATCGTATCTTGAAAGTGAAGTATCGAACATCTTGAACATCTTGTTCAATGTCGACATAACAGTCTTTGCATCCAAAGAACCGCACCAAGGTGTGAAAGACACGATATCCATGAACAAAATAGAAGCAGAAGGAACAGCAAATGAAATATTGGAATCACCTCTCTGCAACTGTTTAACAATTCTATCTGGAAGAATCATCTTCAAAAGGTGTTCGCCTTTATCGTGTTCTTCATCCAATAATCTTTTAGCTGCCATTGCTTGTGTTGTATCCTTCATAACAATGATAACCATGGCAAGACCTTCTCTGTTAATTGATGAGATTTGGACTTCTCCGACCAATGAAACTGCGATGACATTGAATTCGACCATGATCATGTTGCTTCCTCTCTTCATCTCAGCTTCCATTGTGATTCTTGGAGATCTCTGGTTGTTCATTGATGTATTAAGAGCGGAAATGAATGTCTTCAATGATGTTTCACCTTCATTTTCACCATTTGCGCAGATAACTTCATTGAAGTTCTTTCCAATGACTTCTGTTGGAGGAATACCAAGGATGTTTTCAACAGCAGAGTTTGCTGATAATATCTTTAATGTGTTATCCATGAATATACAGCCATCAGGAAGATTAGAAACTAATTGTTCATAGAATGACGAATCTTTGTTGGATGAATCTTCTTCATTTGGAGAGAAATCGTTTGATAAAATCTTCAAAATTGTCTTTGAGTTCATGACATCTTTAGGATCAGCTTGTAAGAACAATTTGATTGTTCCTAATGTTGATTCTGATACAGTGTCAACACCGTACATTGTGTAGAAGCCGAGGATCACAATGATAACGATCATTATGATAATTGGATTCTTCATTTTAGATCCTAATTTGTCATTTTGTGCAACCATCACGTCTTCTATTATAGAAATACCTGGAGTAACAACTTGTTCCATCAATTTCATGTGCAGCCAAAGAATTGCCATTGACAATCTCTTATCTTCTTTGTTTGGATCTAACTCGAAAACATCAGATAACATTCTCATGATTGCATATGAAGATGTTTCAATTGATGCACAAGAAATTGTACCAATAATTCCTTGTAAGAATGATGTGTCTGTGCAATCTGATTTAGAGAATAAAGCTGTATAATCATCGCCAGCTGTAAATGCGCCTTTTCCTTCACCTGTTGATTGCCACCAGTTCATTACATATTCAGGGAATGCTTCGATACAATTTTCTTTAAGCCAAGTATAAGTATTGGTATAATCAACTGTATCATTAACAAATTCTGGATCTCCCTTCAAAGAATATCTCAATGCAGTCATGATTGATGATTGAACTGCTGTTGGAGCTTTGATGAGATCGTGTAACTGTGGAGAAATGTTCCTCATTGTATTGGAAATTTCGATTGGAATGAAATACAAAATGTAGAAAATGATGAAAGCGCCAATGATATAAACAATTTGTGGCATGATTAAATAAGCAACTAACTTTATATCAACTTTAGAAGTTGTGTTTGCTGTTGATAAGATTCTCAACGCGTTCTCTTCTTGTCTGTCGAGTTTCTTTTCGTCATCATTTTCTATGTTTCTGTTCAAATACTGGTTCAAGTTTTGAACAATTTGAGTGATTGATCTCTTTGGAATTGCCTTGAAAGCGTTTGCAACCATTGATTTCTCGTGGTTAATGATTGCAACACCATAAATCATGATGCCGATTTCAAGAACAACAACGAAAACTAAATCAAAGATCAGCATGATTTGGATTGTTCCGATCTTGAAAGTGAACAAATTATCTGTTTCTTTGACAGCAGTAGTGATGATTAAATCCCAGAAATCTTTGACAGATTTAATGCCGTATGTTAAAGTATAGTAATTACCACTACCATAAGCAATTGATGGATCAGTAATCATCAATGTTGCAATCTTAAGAACGTACAAAACATAATATTGCATTGAGAAAATTCCAGGGGCTCCTGGAGTTGTGTTTGGACCGAAGTAGATCTTGATTGGTCCTGTTGTATTAAATGCCAAATTCAGTGTATCCGTGTAATAACCTGAATCTTTCATTGTAGGAAGCATCATTTCGAAATTGGCTGTGTTACTTTTAAGAGCTTCAATGGATTTGTCCAAAATCTCTTCATCTGTGTATGGGAATCCGTCTTGACCTGATATTGAGATGTATCTCTCTTTAACTGATAGGAATTTGCCGTTAGAAGAGCCAACGAATTGAATTGTATTAGTCATGATGTGAAGGATGTTCACGTACATCTCGGAGATGAATCTGATGGCCATGGCGGAGTTAATGTTAGTACTCATTTGCTTTGGAATGAGAATTAAATAAGGAACTGTTGTAAGTAAGATAACAATGATGGACATGATGATAATAAGGATCTTAATGGTTACAACAGAAGGTAATCTAACTGATTGGATGGCGTGTTCGACGTATTGGTGTTCTTGTGAAATCTCGCGATTTCCACTACCGAATTCGCCATGTAATTCACCAGTTGATGAGGTACTGAAGCCGCCAACAAGGAAGGATGTTGTCGACTTGACTCCTTGGATCTTAATTTCTGGGTTATTCGCTTGATTCTTTTGCTGATTGATGAAAGAATGGTCTTTATCAATAGGAAGTGTAGGAATCTCTGTTATGGCAAAGAAATATCCTTTTTCTACATGAAGTTGCTTGCCAGCTTTAAGGGACTGGTAAATTCCGTGATAATCGTTTGCTTGTTTGAGATCACAAACAACGCTTTCGAGGAACTGTGAGTATGCACGGGCAACAAATGGGTTGTTGGGGTAAACAAGAAGTAACTGGGAGTATTCTTTTGCGACATCTTTAGATAAGGCTTGTAACTGGTTAGAAAGTGAATTAACCTCAGTAGTTGAGCCTCTAATAACGCATTCCCATATACGACGAGCTTGGGCAATGCATTTGTCATATCTTTCTTTAGCCTTATTCAGTTGTTTCTTGAGTCCTTTAGTCAGATTGCGTTCGCGGAGTTGTAATAATGTTTGAAGGTCATTAAGTAGCTTCTTGCACTCTATATCGTGTTTCTTGATGGCAATTAATTTGATAATTGAATCTCTGACGTTTTCTATTTCATCAGGATAAATTGCAGAGAATCTAGCGTATAAGATAGTCATTGCCCTGTCATTAGGATATCTTAATAATGCATCCTGGATGAAAGTCCAGTTATGCAAAATCGGATGTCCATGGAAGAAACCAACTTTGAAGAGTCTGACGATATCTTTGTGTTTGTGCTCTTCAAAGAAGTCAGCTCCCTGATACGTATCTAATAGTGTCATGTCCTTCAAAACAGATCTTCTTTCTAACATCGGCGCAATGATTAAAACAATGAAAATCAATGCAAGGTATGAGATAACAATAGCTTCATTACCTTTTACGTTAGCGATACTTAATACAGGAATGAGAATTCTGTAAACAATATTAACAATGAACATTCCCTGATAGAATCGCTTAAGGAAGTCTGACAACCAGACATGTGTCCTTAATGTAATGAGGAATGCAATAATATCACCAATTATTGCTGTAATGGCGATAATATCTCCTGGTAATCTATTCAAATGGCAACCAATTTCGGAAGCAAGGATGGAATATGAAGTTGCGAATAAGAAGATTTGTAAATCTTTTATGAAAAAGATTCCATGCACTGAAGCTCTGAAGTTAAGATTCGAAGGAACGATGATGGAATAGAATGAGAAGCAAGAACCAAACGTAATTACGCAGATCACTATGTTTGCAATCCTTATTGCCGATTTTCCTACATTGATAAGTGCGTCAATTTCCATTGCAATGTATGTCATTGTGCAATAGATCATAAAAGGCATGACGCATCCGAGGAAAACTGCGATAACTGTTACTGAAAAATGTGAGAGCTTTGATTGAACGTGAAAATAATATGTTGTTATGTAAATATATATAAACGTTATTAAGCATATGAGACAAACGACAAGAACGACGATCGAGTATGTATTTGCTGCTAAATTAAATATATTGAATGATACTATGACGGAAAATACTTTGAAAATCTTTGACATGGTTGATGATGTGCCATAAATACTTTCATTCATGATCTGAAGAGCGGCAGCCATGATTTGTAAGATCGAAAGAACACGAAATACATTAATTACAAGTTTAGTAGCTGCTGCTGTTGTAAAAATATAATTGAAATATTTGAAGAAAATTTCTTGAAGAGTTTTTGTAACTCTCCTTTTAAGGATTCGACGATACCTGTTATGCTGGAGAAGGACTGATGTCTGAGTTATCGTGGATCCCTCATCCTCCCTCATAGACTATTTGTAAATTATTATACAACGTATTTTGCAAATTTTATATCAAAAAATATTGATAAGATATGTTTTTTAATATATAAAGTTGATTGGAATTCCTATCAAAAAATTATTCAAAATGCAATTTTGAAAAGTTCTGAAATGAGAAATGTTGAATAATTATGAATAAAACGAAATTTACTAAAAATAAAAGAATTTATTGATAAAAAACCGTTGGATAAAATTTGTAATTCAAAAGTTTACATTTTCTGTTATATGTGAATACTGCATGCTATGTCATAAATCAATTATAAACTTAAGTATTAAATTTGAAAGCGTTCTGAAAAAGAGTAAATATATTCTCAAAATCCTTTTTGAAATATTTTCTGGATACTATCATTATTGTATTAGCATATATTATAAAGATCATTTACTTTTTTTTTCTTCTCAAAAAAATCTTATCTTTAAAAATCGAGATTCTATCTCAGTGCATACTGGAAAGCTAAATTATTCAACATTTTTTAGAAAAAATCTTCCCAAACCTCCGAAATTTACGGGTTTTAGATGGATTGGACTATTCGATTCTTAATATATATTTTAAAAATCCAGCCGATCTTAATTTTTGTATTAATTTGCTAACTTATCGATTTACAACTTTCGAATTATTTCCTCCTAATTGAAAGAACTTTAGAGGAATATATATACATGTTTAACTACTAACTTTGCAAAAAGTCCATTAGCATATAATATAATGCTTATATTATACATATCAAGGCTATATATATTTCGAGAAAAATTGAAATCGTGATTTTTGAGTGGCAACAGTATTTGTAACTATATACATAAGCTTTTCGGATAGGTGATTTTATATTTTATAATGTATCCGTGTAAATATCACAAATATATTCAAAATTAATGAGAAAACGGCAATAATTTTAAATAATTAAAAAATACTTAGAAAGTGATAAAAATAAAAAAATCTGTCTAAGTTGATAAAAATTCCTAAAAATCGCCAAATCCAAAGTGGGCGAAATAAGAGTCCTTATTACTACCGTCGATAAAAAATTCCAAGGAATTATTTTTTGTCTAAGGAATGCTATCAAAACATGATCGGCACCATTCAAATTGCTGGCAAAAATGTCAAAAAATAAGTGCAATAATATTTATCATTTTTATTTAAGGATACCCTTACATTGCGTAGTTAGAAAGAGAATATGATATTGTCATGATTGCTAAAGTTTTAGGCTCCAGAAATGAATATACATCAAACTGAAACAATTGATAAATTGAATGAACTTTTGAGAGGTTCTCAAATAAAAAAAATTATCTAATTTTTTACAATATTACTATTATTTTATCCACATATGTATATATAGTAATTTGAGAAAACTTTTAGGAAAAAATAAGTTTAATAAAAATCTGAATTTTACTTGTTGTGGGATTGTTATTAATTGACACTCCAGACGTATTACTAATAGTTATGCGTATGCAATTAAAGTATTTCTGATGGACAAAATGTGAGATTTATATCAGATAATTCATTTCTACTATTAAGTTATTCATTTATGAGTTTGCACTTATTCGCACTAAATAAATAACTATTAAAAATTGTTTTAATTAATTGACACCATATAATAGAGTGAATTTTGTTTGATCAAACAACAATAGATGATATATATAAAGCCAAGAAACTTGCTATTAATATGCTCTACTTGCTATTTCAATGTAAGTATGATATTTTCTAAATGTTTCGTTCAGATAACTTAGATATATTAGTCAAAATTTGAAATTTTAATAGCACATATATTAAAAATAATTATTATTCATAAAAGATTAATGAAATAGAAAAAAAATCAATCAAATTATAAAAATACAACATTTAGAAGAATTCTTATTATCCTTCAAAAAGTCAGTATTTCTGCTGTAATTTTCTACAACATTGTAGTTATTGCACTTTGTCTATGGATTTGTATATATGTTATATATAAATTATATATCTAAACTGCCCATAAGTGCAATTTTTATATAAATTGTTTATTTCTTTAACAATTTCATATGAAATATGCTTTTTTAAGCGTATCAAAGCTGTGTTCTTAATGTGCATGGATATATCAAGAAAAATGTCGAAAAAAAATGTGAATTCACAAATTCACTGAATTTTCACCGTTTTTTGAATTTTGCTACAGCACTAATATTAAATAATACTAAAATCTTCTGTCTTTGTAAAAGAATAAATTCTGACAAAAAGTGCTCGTTTAAATTTAATGATCATCTGTATGACTAAGTGGTAAAAAGTGTTTATGACCAAAAAAGGGTTACATGCTTAGTCTTTTTTCTGACAGGATACTCTAGATTTACATGATCTCTTTTCATATCTCCGTTTTTAGATTCTTCGACAGATTTTTGATAGAAAACCAAGATTAACAAATTTCCGGCATGTTAATGAAGAAATCTGCAGCTACCCTCAATATTATTTCAATAATCAGTATCGTTTCTCTTACAATTTATTTTTTTCTCAATAATTTAACAAGAAATAACAATACACACTTGGTTTTACGTATAAAAGCTAAGTGTCGAACTTAATCAACTTTACTTACTTAGCAAATGAATTTTTTGTGGTTGCGAGTTCTGAATGCTGAAGTTTTAGATTTCTCTATAAATGATATCATTGCACTTACAATGTTGTTCCAGCCTATCGCATAAATCATAGAAAATCAAAAAAAAAAAAATATAAAGAAATTCATGTCATGAAGTTCAAAAAATACCGTGTAACATTAAAATTTGTTATGCATAATACATTTTAGCTATTATTGATTTTTTTAATTTTCGAGAAATTGAATGGTGAGTCCGATAGAGAAATTTTTAAAAATCCTAGTGCCTCATAGAAGTAATTTCCCTCGTCTCCCATACTTCCAAATGTATGCATATGACATAAACTTTTATGCATTACACAAGTGGCCAATAATATCTATAGAGTAAAAAATTAGAAATTTAATTTTTTTTATATGATAGTTATATTTCAGATTTGCGAGCGTAACTTTTTTCTCCATGGCATACTTGTTTTAAGAGCAAATGATCAAAATCGTCCTTCAATTATTGAAGGAGCTGATATCTTTTGAAAATTGAATTGAAAGGGTATTCAATTTTCAAATTTCCTCTCAATTTTGGAAACATATCAACTCTATGAATTAACAATTATGTGCCTTCACAGTTTATCAGTCATATAAGGTGCTTATAAAGAAAAAAGTTACGCTCGCAAAATATGTTTTTATATAGATTTCACATAAAATAATTATGTAATTTCTAAAAAGAATATTTTTGTTCTTGAATATTAAAGTGTATTGTAGTTTAAAAAGTTTTAAATATGTTGCTAAAATTTCAGGTTTATAGCTCATGTCTAGCATGACTTCTTCGTATGCGCAAAAAATCTGACACGTAAGGGTATCCTTAATAAATAAATGCTTAATAACTAACTGTTTATGATTTTATCTATTTCAAGTATCTACAATAATCCAAAGTAATATAAGGGAACCCGCTCTTGAACCTTTGCAGTCTTGTGGCGGGCTATGCAATTTTAATAATTAGAAGATAGGATATGCATTACAAATACTTAAATATTATGAATATCAAATTAAAATATGAAAATTCATATATTCCATTTAAAATCTTTTTGGCGTGTGGGCAATTTTAACGACATTTTTTAACGCGATACGAGCGTAAGTTCATAGAATGTGTTTTGAGGGAAACTATAAAAATCCAAAATAGAGGTAAGTGCGCCATTATTACCTGCGAAGTTACATGGAATAAATCGAAGAGTAAGTACAAGATGATCTTGCATCTTTCCAAGTAAATGAAATTTATTAAAATTAAGATGATAATATTCATTTATAGTATGTGTATGATGTGTTTTCAAAATTTCTTCAAATAAAATGCAATGATAATTTTTGAATAATTTTTTCTTGTGTATATTTCATTTTTTATTAGTGAAAATATCATTACATCAATAAGGAAAGCACAATCCAAATTCATATTAGTTAAATTAATCTACGACCAAAAGCCCGCCAAATTTGAATTAAACACGTTTTTTGATAAAAGTGTCATTTATGATTGTTGCATTTAGGGATAGTAGCCAATTTCGGTACCAATCTTGAAAATGCCTCGCCATGCCCGCAACATGGAAGAGAAGTATTGGTCTGATATTGAACTATCAATCAATGCAAACTGAATCACCTTGTCATGTTGCTCCACAGATACAGCAGTCTGAGTCCCTCGCTTGGTCATGTTGCTCCACAGATACAGCAGTCTGAGTCCCTCGCTTGGTCATGTTGCTCCACAGATACAGCAGTCTGAGTCCCTCGCTTGGTCATGTTGCTCCACAGATACAGCAGTCTGAGTCCCTCGCTTGGTCATGTTGCTCCACAGATACAGCAGTCTGAGTCCCTCGCTTGGTCATGTTGCTCCACAGATACAGCAGTCTGAGTCCCTCGCTTGGTCATGTTGCTCCACAGATACAGCAGTCTGAGTCCCTCGCTTGGTCATGTTGCTCCACAGATACAGCAGTCTGAGTCCCTCGCTTGGTCATGTTGCTCCACAGATACAGCAGTCTGAGTCCCTCGCTTGGTCATATCACACCAGATAAATAAAAGTTCAGCTTCACAATACTTACCTGCTCTATTATGTGATTTTTTCCAACTATCATATGTTAGTTGTTGTATTGAAGTTGAGTATGAAAGAATAATGTTGCAAGATTTCTCACCAAATAAAAAATCATTAAAGAACTTTTATTCTTTGAAAATGTATTTATGTTGAAAATAATGGAAGATGTTATTCTTGTTAGTTAGTTTACGAAGTTCTTTTGGAAGAAATTTGTTGAATATCTTTATTTTGAATGGGAATGAACTTAGGAAATTCACCACGAGCTCTTGAATAGGCAGAATTGTAATGGATGATTAGCTATGATGGGATTATACGATGTTGGTTTGTTCTAGAATGATTAAAAAGTTTTCAGGTAATGTGCTGAT